TCTGTCTCACTCTTTCTCTCTGGTGAGCGCATGCACCCTATAGCATAAATTTCTATTAAAAAAAAAAAAAAGTTTTGTAGAACTCAGAAGTGAAGCCGGATCTGGGCTTTTCTTTGCTGGGAGACTATCACTGATTTAATTTCACTTTTTGTTATTTATCTATTCAGGCTATCTATTTCTTCCTGGTTCAATCTGATAAGTTATATGTTTCCAGAAATTTGTCCATCTCATCAAGATTTTCTAGTCTGTTGGCATATAGCCACTTGTATTCTCCCATTATCTGTTGAATTTTTGTGGTATTTGCTGTACTTATTGCCTGTTTAATTATTGATTTTATTTCTCTCTTTCCTTTCTGTTTTCCTTTCTTAGGCTATCCAGTGGTTTGTCAATTTTGTTTTTCCTTTCAGAAAACCAGCTTTTTTGTCTTACTGAGTTTTTGTATTCTTTAATTATCAATTTCATTGGTTTCTATTCTAATATTTATTTTTTATTTTCTCCTAGCATTTTGGGGTTTTTTGGTTGTTTTGATAGTTCCCTAAGATGTGTTGTTACATTATTAATTTGCATCACTCTTTTTTTTTCTTGTGAGCATCAACTGCCATGAACTTCTCTCTTAGCACTGCTTTCACTGTGTCCCAAAGATTATGGAATATCATGTGTTCTTTATCATTGATTCCAAAGAGTCTTTAAGTTTTAATCTTAGTTTCTTCAATGGCTTTGAAGTCATTCAGGAGTAAATTGTTTAGTTTCCATAGTTTTGTGTATTTTCCAAGATTCTTTTAGTTGTTGATTTCAAGTTTAATTCCATTGTGGTTGCAAAGATGCTAGATAGAGTATCTATACTTTTGCATTTGTAATGACTTGTTGTCCTATTATGTAGTCTTCGAAAATGTTCCATGTGAGACTGAGAAATATGTGTTTTGTAGTTGTTGGGTGAAATGTTCTATAAATGTGTCTGTCACATTCATTTGGTTTATGGTATCATATATTTCTGTGTCTATTTTTTGTTTAGATGACCTGTCCTGTGCTGACAATGGGGTGTTGAAGTTCCCAACAATTAGTGTATTGCAATCTATCTTTCTCTTTACATCTAGCAGCCTTTCTTTTGTATTGGTGCCCTGCTGCTGAGTGCATAGATAGTTATAATTGTTATATCTTCTGTTGAATCAGTCCCTTTAATACTATATAGTGTCCAGGGCCGGCAGGTGGCATGATGGTTACACTGGACTCTCACATGGCACCCATGGTTTGAGTCCCAGACCTGTGAGCTTACTTTCTCACTCTCCCTCTCTCTTTTTGTTTGTCTCTCTCTGGCAAATTAAAATAATAATAATAAAAGTAAATGAATAATTCTTTAAAAGTACTATATAGTGTCTTTCTTTGTCTCCTTTTATTTTTTCTTTCTTGAAGTCTGTTTTGTCTGGTATCAGTATCATGATTCTAGCGTTGTTTTTTCGTTTTTGTTTATATGAAATGACTTTTTCTGTCCCTTCACTGTCAGTCTGTGTATGTCCTTATCAGTGAGATTTCTTTCTTTCTTTTTTGGAGAGGTTTTGGCTATAGGGCGCATGCGCTCACCACAGACAGAGAGAGACAGAGAGACAGAAAGCGAGAAATCACCCCCCAGGGGGGATGGCCACACCACAATCCCTTCTCCTCCATTCTCCTCTCGGGATCTTGGGCACGCACGCACATGCGCCCGGCGTGAGTTTTAAGCCACCGGGTCCCGAACTCGAACCGTGGTCAACTATGTGGGAGTCCAGCGACAAAGCCATTACACTAACTGCTGATCCCAGTGAGATTTATTTCTTATAAACATCATATAGAAGGCTCCTGTTTTTTTATTCCATTCAGTCAATCTGTGTTTCTTTAATTAGGGAATTTAATCCATTTACATTCAGCATTATTCTTTAGACATGCAATTATTCCTGCCTTTTTGTTAGTCATTTTCTTAATGGTTTTGTGTTTTTATTTCTGTTTGTCTCCCTTTCACTTTCCTGATGTAGTATTCCCCTGAGTATTCATGAAGAGCTGAGATAGTGTTGGTAAATTCTTTCAGTTTTTGTTTATCTGGAATAATTTTATTTCTTCTTCCCATTTGAAGGATAATCTTGCTGGGTATAGTAATCTTGGCTGATTATTTTTTTCTCTAAGAATTTTAAATATGGGGGCCTGGTGGTTAAGGGCACTGGACTCCCACATGGCCAACTGCGGTTTGAGTCCCAGACCTGGCAGCTTGCTTTCTCACTTTTTCTCTCTCTTTCTCTCTCACTCTGTCCCTCTCTGTTCAAATTAAAATTAATAAATACATAAATAAAATGAATAACGTTCAATAAAATAATTCTTCAAAAAAATTATTTTAGGGACCAGCAATTGATGTAATGGCTATGTCACTGGACTCCATGTAGTTGACTATGGTTTGAATCCCAGACCCGGTGGCTTAAACTCTCGCCAGGCGCATGTGCTTGCATGCCCAAGATCCTGAGAGGAGAATGGAGGAGAAGGGATTGTGGCATGTCCATCCTCCCTGGGGTGATTTCTTGCTTTTTGTCTCTTTCTGGTGAGTACACATACCCTATAGCAAAAACCTCTCCAAAAAAATTTTTTTTAAATATGTCTTTCCATTTTTTTCCTTGCCTACACTGTTTCTGTTGCAAGATCTGAGGTTAGTTTGATGGCACATCCTTTGAAAGTTACTTAACATTTTTTTGCCATTTTTAGAGATTTTCAATGCCTTTATCCATCTCTTCTCTTTCTAGAATAACCCATGATGTGGATATTCTGCTGCTTAATACTGTCTAGAATTTCCCATACCTTGGCCTCTTTTTAAAAAAAAAATTGCTGAGAGAAGAAAAGTGAGAAAACAACCCCTAGGAGTGCTGGCCATACTGAAGTCTTCTTCGTTTTCCTTTCAGGATTTTGGGCATGCATGCACATGCTCCTGCCATGGTTTTCAAGCTGCTGGATCTGGAACTAGAACCTTGGCCATGTGGAATCCAGCTCCCTTCCCCATCATGCCACTGGCCGACCCTATCCTCATTTTTTGTTTTTTTTTTGTTTGTGTGTTTTTAGTTTGCTCTAGAGCACATGTGCTCACTGGAGAGAGACAGAGAGGGAAGGTCAGAAATTACCCCCCAGGGGAGATGGCCATTCTCAGGATTTGGATTGCATGCAGGTACATGCCTAGTGAGTTTTGAGCCGTTGGGTCTGGGACTCAAACAACTCAGTTGTCGATGTGGATCAAGCCACCGTAACCTCTGTGCCACCTGCTGACCCTGTCCTCATTTTGTGTTCAAGATCAGAGATTTTTTTCTTCTGTATGTTCTAATCTGTTGTTAAAACTTTTGAGAGATTTTGGTGTCCCGTATTGTGTTCTTCATCTTTAGAATTTCTGTTTTTAACGGTGTCTTTCTGTTTCTGGAATTCTTCTTTCATGTCATGGAATAATATTTTTATCTTCTGGTATTGATTGTCCATTTTCTCTTGCAACTCAGTTGAGTGTTTTGTTTTTGTTTTTGTTTTTTTTTACAATGACTATTCTGAATTTATTTTCTGGCATTTCTGTGATTTCCTGTGTCTTATCTATTGTTAATAAGAAGTTATTATGTTCCTTTGGTGGGTAGATATTTTCTTGTGTGTGTGTGTGTGTGTGTGTGTGTGTGTTTTGTTTTTATGCATCTGGTAGAGTACTCACTTCTGTAATTTTTCAAGTAGATTAGTTCAGGGAGGCCCAGAAGAGCTTCACAGTAGGTGGTATCAATTGGGGCAGATAGCCATTCTCTGGACTTAGTCTGCTGGGAGGGAGAGTGCTGGCCTGCCCTGCCTGTCAGACAGGAGGCAGTAACCAAATACTTTAGTCTCTGTTGGGTCGAGGGTGCCCTCTTTTGCATCTTTTGTACCCTCTGGGCTGTGGAATCTTGATTGTAAGCGGAGCTTCACCTATGGTGGTCTCATAGGATGGTGCAGCTGTCCTGCTGGTGGGGGTGGTGGCGGAGTAGGAAATCCAGTTCAGTTTTGTTGTTTTTTCTGAAGTTACATGGCCATGCACCTTCCTATGATGTTTGTTAGCTTCTTTCCAGTTTCATTGCTCCTCTGTGGGTGAGGACTGCTGGAATTCACAGTGGAAGTCTGGAGTTTGGATCTTGCAGAAGAGCTTCTCTCATCTTATCCCCCAGTGACGGTCAGGGGAAGGTCCTCCGGGGTCTCACTGGCTTCAGGCAATTGATTCCTCCTTACACCTCCAAGCAGCAACTACTGAGACTTGTCCATTTTTAAATTTAAGTTTTAATTCATTTCCTTTAAAATATCTTTATTATTCACCT